ACGCTGCCGATGGTGATTGTGTTGGAGAAGGAGCTGGCGGCCCTCTCCATGAAGCCGGGAGACGATGTGAAGCCGGTCCTTGACAAGATCAAGGACACTTACGCGAGGATGGCAGCGGCGGGCAGCAAGGTGTCGGAGATGCAGCAGTGCACCAAGATCATCTCGGTGCTCGACAACTCGTGGGACAACCTCATCCCCACCCTCAACGTTCAGCAGGACAAGTGGACGCCTGAGTGGCTACGGCAGCAGATCCTGCAGGAGGACTTCCGCAGGCGCCACACGGGAGGTGGTGCTGCCAACAAGACTGCTGAGGGGTACGGAGCTGCAGGAGGCAGCAGAGGAAGAGGGGGAGGGAGAGGCCGAGGCCGTGGGAGAGGCTTTGGCAGAGGAAGAGGCCGAGGTGACTACAACGAGGGGCATGGGAGCTCTGGTGGCAGGGGGAGCACCCGAATGGAGGGTGCGTGCTGGTACTGCAAGAAGGCTGGACACCCGTGGTTCAAGTGTTTCAGCCGGCCTGAAGGATGGGCGCCTCCAGGCATGAAGCCGCCAAGTGGTGAACGCGCACGAGGTGGCGCTGTGCAAGGTTCAGGTGCACAAGGTGATGGTGCACAAGGTAAAGCCGACCCTGGCTTGTTCCTCATGGTTGAGGATGTGAAAGTAAGTGAGGATGATGTGGGTTCAGTTGGGAAGGTTGTGATGCACCCCCTCACTCACTGGGTGATCGATTCTGGTTGCACGAGTCACATGACTCCGCGGGCAGATTTGCTCGATGAGGTGAAACCCCCTGGGAAGATCAAGTTTGTGGCTGCCGCTTCAGGTGCTTTGCTCCCTGTGATTGGTGTTGGGAATGCCAAGGTGATGGGAGCTAATGGGGGACTTGTGGGGCTTGGAAATGTCCTGCTTGTTAAAGGCTTGTCCGCCAACCTACTTTCTGTGCGCCGGCTGCAGAAAAGCAAGGCAAAGGTTACGTTCGGCCCAACCAGCTGCCGTGCAAAGCTTGAGAAGTTACTGCTGTGGGATTTGGACGAGAAGAGCAGCTGCATCAAGGACCTGTGGCAGCTGCCCATCATCCCTTGGAATGGGAAACCACCAGCAACGGCAAAGGCAGCGGCAGCGGCTAAGGCAACTGCGGGAGGAGAGGAGACTGCACCAACTGCTGGGGCCCTGGATGCAGTCAAGAAGGTGCAGCAGCCACAGCAGCCACATGGTGAGGTGCTTGCTGGTGTGGATGCAACGGCTGCATGGGCAAAGGCTTCGTCTGGGAGTGGTGAGGCCGATTGGGAGACGTGGCATGAGAGGTTGTACCACATAAACATACCGATGCTGCAAAAGTTGGCGAAGGATGGGAGCTTGAAGGGGCTGGAGGTGAAGGGGGCAGCGAAGGAGATTGGGAGCTGCCCTACATGCCTCGAGACGAAATTCACGAAGTTTCCTTTCAGTAGCAGCTCGGGACCGGCCAAGGCACCACTTGCGCTTGTGCACATGGATGTGGTGGGGCCTACGAGGGCCCCTTCTCTCTCGGGCAGCCGCTATTTCTTGACCATTGTGGACGACCACACGCGTGCGGTGTGGGTCTACCCTCTCAAGACGAAGGGGGATGTCGCAACGGCTGTACTCAAGGAGTGGATGCCGAGAGCTCAAAGGGAGAGCGGACACAAGGTGAAGGTGATCCGCACTGACAACGGGGGAGAGTTCATTGGCGCTGATTTTGAGGCGGTGCTGAAGAAGAAGGGGATCCAGCATCAGCTCACAGTGCCCTACAACCCTCAGCAGAACGGCGTGGCTGAGCGGTTCAACCGGACCCTGCAGGAAGGTGCCCGCACTCTACTTGGGCGTGCAGGGCTGCCGGATCCGTTTTGGGTGACTGCACTGAGGCAGGTCGCTCTTGTGAAGAACAGGGTGCTGGCGACTGTGGGGGAGAAGCAGCGGATCCCCTACACCAAGTGGTATGGGAGTGCACCAGCGGTCAACATGCTAAGAGCCTACGGCTGCATGGTGGTGTTTCATGTGCCGAAGGAGAAGAGGGGAAAGCTGGAAGCTTCTGGGAGATGGGGTGTGCACTTGGGACTTGCTAAGGACCACAAGGGCTGGCTGATATGGGACTTGACAAGCCAGCAGCTGACAGTGTCGAGAGATGTGAAGTTCCTTGAGTCTCTGTACTACAAGGAGTGGAAGCAGCAGCAGCAGAAGCTTCCTACTACACCGCTGATCATTGAGGCCGATGAGGTGCAGCGGCCTTCAAGGCAGGTGGAAGTCTCCGTGTCGGGGGAGGAGATCTCTGGGGTGACTGAGGATGGGGGAGAACCTGAGGTGGAGGAGCAGCAGCAGCAGCAGCAGCAGCAACAACGTGCGGCTGACCGTCCTAGGAGGGATGTGCGCCCTCCTAACAGGCTGACCTATCCGAGCTTTGGGAAGCCAAGTATTGTGCCAGCTGGGAGTGTGACTGAGAAGTGTGATGATGACGAGATAGCCTACTGCTGTGGGGCTACATTCAGATGCTTTGGAGGATAGTGCCGTGAGAGAGAGGCTACAGCGGGGTGCTGCAGATCTGAGCTGAAGAAGGAGATGTGCAAATGTCCCTTGATTGGGAAATGAATGAAACTTGCTGGAATGAGTGTGCATTGAGGTTGTATGCTTGAACTATGACATGTGGAATGATGGTTGGCAGCCAGAGGGGGAGTTTGTTGTGTGATGCTATCATTCGCATTCACGTCTGTCTGCCTCCCATCAAATGTTTGTGCATTGCATGCGTGGTGTGAGCGTGTGCAAGAATTTGTGATATGCGCGGTTTGGATTTTCTGAGTGTGTGTGAATGCTATCTGGCTTGAGCAGATATCTGAAGTGATTCCTCTGCTCAAGAGCTTTCCGACGAACGAAAAATCGTCGCGATCGGAGGAATATCAAGAAAGTTACGAACGTTGGAGTTCGTATGCTTTCTGTACTTTGGTTGCGGTGACTATGGAAAGTTGTGGGGTTGACTCATTATGGGGTACAGACTTTTGGGGTTGGGAATTCGAACCCATCACTGTAGATTGCTGCCATGTGGTTGGGAGAAGCCAAACCAGGTTGGCAAGTGTGGCCAAGTGGGTTGAGGTGGATGGCATGAGTTGGGAAAGTGACAAATGTGAAAGTGGGGTTGCCTATGGAGAGGGAAATTGTGTGGCATGGGGTTTCCTTTGGTTGGGGACTCCTTGGGACCTTCTCTCTTGCCCTCCTCTTCCCTCCTACCTGGTTTAGTGCTACTCTAATTCTCTTGTGTGAAACTTGTGGAACTTGTGAGGACAATATGTGATTGAGTTAAAGTTTCTATGGCAACATACCCCCTAGTGCGCCGAAAAGCATAACTCGAGATTTACTCCACCTTTTGATACGATTCAAATTGGGAATGATAGCCACGGTCAAGGGCCACGGTCGAGTTTGAGACGATTCTAACGGTGCACTTTTCGTCGACAACGTTTCTTGTGAAGTCGCGGTTTCTGTCCAGAAATTGAGACCAACGATTTTGAGTTATTTCGGCCCCTATTCTTCATAGACTCTGTTCTTAGTCTCCAACAATAAGTACCATTATATGGCTAAGTAAAGCGCTTACTCTAAGTACCATCCTTATGACTAAGTAACGCGCTTTCTTTTAGTACCACTCAGTTGGCTCGCTCTTACTCTTAGTACCACTCATATGGCTAAGTAACGCGCTTACTCTTAGTACCACTCATATGGCTAGGTAACGCGCTTACTCTTGGTACCAGCCATATGGGTAAATAACGCTCTTACTCTTAGTACCACTCATATTGCTAAGTAACGCGCTTACTCCTAGTACCACTTATTTAGCTATGTAACGTACATACTCATAGGGCTAAAAAACGCGCTTACTGTTAGTACTACTCATATGGCTAAGTAACGCACTTACTCTTAGTACCACTCATATGGCTAAATAACGCTCTTGCTCTTAGTACCACTTATATGGGTAAGTAAAGAGCGAACTCCTAGAACCACTTATTTACCTATGTAAAGCACTTACTTTTGGTACCACTCATATGGCTAGCAATGTAACACGCTTACTATTAGTACCATCCATATGGCTAAGTAACAAGCTAACTCTTAGTACCACTCATATGGCTAAGTAATGTTAGTACAACCCTACGGTTTGCACTCGGCTTGTTGTCCGTGTGCGTGTGCGTGCATGCGTGTGTGCATGGAGTGGTATGAGTGCATGAAATAAATATATATTTCATGCTTATAATGGTGTGTGTATGATGGGTCATGATGTCGAGTGTGTGTGTCGAGTCAATAGCGAGTTATCGCTAGCCGCGTTTAACGCGGTCATTTCGTGTGTCCCGCGCGGGTCCTATTTTGTCGTGCGCGGTTTCTATTTTGTCGCTTGTCGAACGTTCGGCGTGTCGCAGGTGTGTGCAGCAGACCCATCAAGAACTCAAGGATGAGTTTGTGATGAAGAACCCGAGCCTTGGTTCAAGCTTCAAGTGTTTTCGAAGCTCGCCAAAACAAAAAAGGCTACACCTCAAGACATTGAAGATAGTTACATTACAAAGTGTAGTGTAACATTTCAGTTGGTGTAGGCCCTTGTGAAGGGTAGTTTCGAGACCCTTCTTGGTTGGGGACAGTGTGGCATTGTTCCCCATCACTGTACCTCAGCTTCTGGGGTTTGTAGGAGCTGAGAGTCCTTCCCAGCTCGTAACTCTTCCTATCTGTTCGTAATTGTGTGTTCTAAGACTATTCTTTGCTGCCATAGTGCCGTTCGTTCAATCTGACGCTGTGTCGTCAATTCTTGATGAAATCGTGCGATCTAAATTGCCTATTGTAGGCCTTGTTAAGAAGCTCCAGATCCAAGTTGAATGAGGTCAATTAAAGCTGTGATCAGATCGCTATGAATGTTTAAAGCCGCTGTGCAGAAATCTGACTGCGCACTCTATCTTTGGTTCTAGGCACATCGAAGCCTACTGTGGTTATAACAAGTGGTATCAGAGCGCCTTGGAGCAGCTTCGACTATGGCTGGACCTGAAGAAAGGGGTGACAGAGGTGCTGGTGGCAGTGGAGGACCCCAAGCACAAGTGATTCAGCCATGGCATCCGTGCAACCAACTCTTGGACCCTCTAAGGACGAACCAAGAGTGTTCGGGCTCGACAAGTTCAACGGCGACAACTTTGCTGAGTGGTCCTTCAGAATGGAGAACGTGTTTGACCACTATGACCTGCTGGAGGTGATGGAAGGAACAGAGAAGCGTCCCGAGAACGACCCGGAGAAGAGCCTGTGGGTGCGGAAGAGCGCACAAGGCTATCTCCTACTTGGGCAAGCGTTGGGGAGCAACCAGATCCGTCACATCAAGCCTTTCCAGCGTGAACCAGAGAAGGGACCTAAAGCATGGGCTGCTCTCAAGGGTGTACACGCTCCTGCAACAGCGGCGGTAGCTGTGGTGTTGGAACGGCAAATGGCGACGCTACGAATTGAAGAAGATGAACCCGTGGAAGACGGGGTGCAGAAATTCTTCGACTTGTTGACGCGGCTTGAGGGAGCTGATTTGAACTACAGTGAGCTCCAGAAGAAGACCAAGTTGCTGGCCCTACTCCCCGAATCGTGGTCCTCACTCATCATCAACTTGAACCGTGATCTGCCCCGTCTCTCGCTTGAAGACGTGAAGCGCGCAATCCTACAAGAGGACTTCCGCCGCCGTGAGTTGGCGAGTGCGGATGGCGCTGGGGCAGCAAGCGTCGGCCGTGGATATGGCCGAGGAAGAGGCAGAGGACGAGGGGGAGGAAGATTTGGTGGCAGCAACTTCGGCGGAGGCCGCGGGAGTGGCGGATACGGCAGCGACGACAAGAGCTATGGGCGCGGTCGCGGACGATTTGACGGCGAATGTCACTATTGCCACAAGAGCGGGCACATGTGGTGCGATTGCTACAAACTCCCTGATGGATGGACCCCTGCTCAAGACCAAGAGGGTAGAGGAGCAGGAGGAGGGAGAGGCAGAGGCCGTGGAGGCCGTGGCGGTCGCGGAGGTGGAGCCGCGAACATGAAGAGTGGAGATAAAGACAACGACCCGAGCGACGATCGGTACCCGGGTCTATTCTACTTCGTGTCGACGCAAGTACCAGCTGGTCCAGAGAAGGATGAAGGCTTTGAGGAGCCTGCTGCTGTGGGGAAAGTGACCCTACACCCCCTGGACTATTGGGTGATCGATAGTGGCGCTACCTATAGCATGACACCTCGCCCCGACTTGCTCACCGAACTCGAGCCGTCACCGGTGAAGCATGTCACATCGGCTTTGGGGCAGCGAGCAGAGGTGAAAGGCATGGGGAAGGCCATGTTCAAGGGTGCTGATGGGAAGATGGTGGGCCTCAAGAACGTGCTTTGGGTGCCCAGCCTTGCTGCGAACCTGATTTCCGTGCGGCGGTTGGCGAAGGCCGGCATGGACACGAACTCGAAGGGAGCCAAGACCTACACCGCAAGGATTGGCGACCGAATTCTATGGGACCTTCATGAGGATAGGGATGTCTACAACGAGATGTGGCAGATCCCTGTGGTCCCTAAGCCCAAGGAGAGACAAGTGGCAGCAAGCGTCAGCACCAAGGGTGACGCGGTTGGTAGCGGTGATGGCGCAAACGGTCGCGCTAAGGTGAACGAGCTCAGAAAGAGCAAACCTGGCGGGAACAGCAAGCTGTGTGAACCTAAGGAGAGAGGTGCAACAGCCATGGAGCAGCACAAGGGTGAGGAGAACCCCGAGGCAGCAGCGAAGGAGGACTACGGAGAGAGTATGTGGGGCGCTATTGCGAGTGCGGCATTCTCCAATCCGACTTCGGCTACGGGGGAGTGTGATTGGCTCACCTTGCATCGGCGAATGGGGCATGTGGCCCTGCCCATCTTGCAGCAGCTAGTGAAGAACCAGATGGTTGCTGGCATACGTGTGAAGGGGGAGCCCGATGAGGTGCTTGGCTGCCCGACGTGCATGCAAGCCAAGTTCACCCGTTTCCCGTTCTCTAGTTCGGAGGCAACGGCAAAGGCACCGCTTGATGAGGTGATTATGGACGTGGTGGGCCCCCTGAAGCTTGGAGCTGCTGGAGCTGAGTATTTCCTCACCATAGTGGATGTCTACACCCGCATGACCTGGGTGTACGTGCTGGCCAAGAAGAGCGACGTGGCTGAAACGTTGAAGACGGATTGGTTCCCGATGGTGGAGCGGCAACAAGACCGACTAGTGAAGTCAATCCGCACCGATCGAGGGGGAGAGTTCCTGAGCAAGGACTTTTCGTTGTGGCTGAAGAAGAATGGCATAAGGCACTCCCTTACCATGCCATACTCCCCTGCAATGAACGGCATCGCCGAGCGAGCGAACCGGACGATCACGGAGGCGGTTCGCGGGTTGCTCATTGAAGCCAGGCTACCCGACTATTTCTGGCCTGATGCGGTGCGGAGCGCGTGTGTGGCCAAGAACAGAGTCTTGACTCATGTGGGAGCAGACAAATGGGTGCCCTACGAGGAGTAGCTTGGAAGGAAGCCAAATGTGGATATGCTTCGGGTGTTCGGGTGCATGTGTTGGCGCTCGTGCCTAAGCATCTTCGGCACAACAAGCTTGGTGCCAAGGCGGTGTGGGCCGTGCACTTGGGCATGGCTCAAAACAGCAAGGGGTGGCTTCTTTGGGATCCATTCACCAAGAAGTTCATGGTGAGCAGGGACTGCAAGTTCATGGAAAACTTCATGTACAAGGATTGGAAGGCGGAGAATGAGGCAAAGATAGGCGTGCGGTTTGGGGAGGTGAAGAGTTCCGGGTTGGAGCATGTGGAGCTGCCTTTGGAGCTGAGCAGCGGCAGCACCACCACAAGGCAATCTTCCCTTGTGAATGGGGGAGAGGAGGCCAAGGATGCAGAGGAGGAAGAGGAGGAGGTGCAGCAAGTGAGCGAGCATGCACCAACACGTCCTACCTGCACTACGAGCGCTCCACGGAACTGAGTCACACCGCAGCAACGCCAAGGCCTTCAAGTCCCTGCAGCTGAGGAAGGAAGGGTGAAGAGGAAAGTCCAACCCCCTAGAAGGCTGACATATGATGCGCCGGGAGAGCCGGGCAAGACGGCCCTGGCCGGAGCGGCAATGATGGTCGGAGACGACGAGGAAAGCGACTACGAGGAGTGTGCCTTCGCGTTCTTCTCTCCGGTGGAGATGCCGGGGGAACCAGCAACTCTCAAGGAGGCCTTGGAGAGTGGTGATGCTGAGGAGTGGAAGAAGGCAATGGAGAGTGAGCTGAAGAGCATTGAGGAGAACGACACGTACGAGTTGGTGGAGCTACCGGAGGGGCGTACGGCGATTACGTCCAAGTGGCTCTTCAAGATCAAGTCCGACGCCGACGGCAAGATCGAGCGCTACAAGTCTAGGCTGGTGGCCAAGGGGTACCAGCAGAAGGAGAATGTGGACTACAAGGAGCTGTTTGCTCCTATGGTGAAGCCGACGACGCTGCGAACCCTACTCGCGGGAGCCGCGATCAAAGGTTGGGTGGTGAAGCAGCTAGACATCGTAACGGCGTTCCTCAACGGAATCCTCGAGGAGGAGATTTTCATGGCGCAGCCAGAGGGGTTTGATGACGGTAGCGGCAGAGTGTGGAAGCTGAAGAAGGCCCTCTATGGGCTGAAGCAGGCCCCTAGACAATGGTACCTGAAGCTGCGTGAAGTGTTGGAGGAGATCGGCTTCACTCCCTCAACGGCCGATCACTCCTTGTTCATGCTTGGCGAGGGGGAGCAGAGGAGCTTCATGGTGGTGTACGTGGACGACATCCTGATCTTCTCACCCTCCTCTGACCTTGTGAAGGAGGTGATGCTGAAGCTGCAAGACAAGTTCAAGTGCAAGTCCCTTGGGGACGTGAACTTCTACCTTGGGCTCCACATCGAACGAGACGTGGAGAAGCGGTGCATGCGGGTGCACCAACGCAAGTACCTGGAGGCATTGGCTGCCAACTTTGGGCAGAATGAAGGCCATGTGGCTACACCCTTTCCCTCTGGGTTCAAGTGTGTGAAGGGACCAGAGGAGGAGAGCGTGGGTGAAGAGGAGAGGCGCCGATTTCACTCGTTGGTGGGCAGCCTCATGTATGCGGCAGTCAACACACGACCGGATGTCGCGTTTGCTACCGGGCAGCTAGCTATGGTGGTGCAATGCCCTGAGGAGCAGGTAGCTGCTGGAATGAGGGTGGCCAAGTACCTTGGCCAAACACCGACTGTTGGGCTGCAATACTCGGCAGCGGCACAAAGGCGCCAAAAGGGCGCGGATGGTGTGGAACCCGGGCGTTTGTTCCTCACCGCATTCTCGGATGCCTCCTATGCATCGGAACCAGAGGACATGACAAGTGTTGGAGGGTTCATTTGCTGTGTTGGTGGAGGTCCAACTGCTTGGGAAAGCAAGAAGCAGGTTGACCAAGCTTTGAGCTCGGTGGAGTCCGAGTACATGGCACTCTTCCGTGCGGTACGGGAGATTGTGTGGCAGCGACGCTTGTTGGCTGAATTGGGGGAGGAGCAGCAAGGACCTACCCCACTCTACTGTGACAGCCAAGGAGCCATTGCTCTAGCCAAGAACCCTGTGTTGCATGGCCTGACAAAGCACATGAGGGTGAAGTGGCACTGGACAAGGAGCATGGTGGCTGCGGGTGAAGTTGAGTTGCGCTACGTGAAGACGACGGGGCAGCCGGCAGACATGATGACCAAGAGGCTGGTGGAGCAGCAGCATTGGAAGTGTTGCAAGCTGGCTGGGATGGCTCTGAACTGAGAGAGCAAGATCCTAAGGCCAACAACCCGAGGGGGAGTTTGTTGGTGCAACCCTACGGTTTGCACTCGGCTTGTTGTCCGTGTGCGTGTGCGTGCATGCGTGTGTGCATGGAGTGGTATGAGTGCATGAAATAAATATATATTTCATGCTTATAATGGTGTGTGTATGATGGGTCATGATGTCGAGTGTGTGTGTCGAGTCAATAGCGAGTTATCGCTAGCCGCGTTTAACGCGGTCATTTTGTGTGTCCCGCGCGGGTTCTATTTTGTCGTGCGCGGTTTCTATTTTGTCGCTTGTCGAACGTTCGGCGTGTCGCAGGTGTGTGCAGCAGACCCATCAAGAACTCAAGGATGAGTTTTGTGATGAAGAACCCGAGCCTTGGTTCAAGCTTCAAGTGTTTTCGAAGCTCGCCAAAAAAGGCTACACCTCAAGATATTGAAGATAGTTACATTACAAAGTGTAGTGTAACATTTCAGTTGGTGTAGGCCCTTGTGAAGGGTAGTTTCGAGACCCTTCTTGGTTGGGGACAGTGTGGCACTGTTCCCCATCACTGTACCTCGGCTCTTGGGGTTTGTAGGAGCTGGGAGTCCTTCCCAACTCGTAACTCTTCCTAGCTGTTCGTAATTGTGTGTTCTAAGACTATTTTTTGCTGCCATAGTGCCGTTCGTTCAATCTGACGCTGTGTTGTGAAATCTTGATGAAACCATGCGATCTAAACTGCCTATTGTAGGCCTTGTTAAGACGCTCCAGATCCAAGTTGAATGAGGTCAATTGGAGCTGTGACCAGATCGCTATGAATGTTTAAAGCCGCTGTGCAGAAATCTGACTGCGCACTCTATCTTTGGTTCTAGGCACATTGAAGCCTACTGTGTTTATAACAAGTAACGCGCTTACTGTTAGTACCACTCATATGGCTAAAAAACGCGCTTACTCTTAGTACCACTCATATGGCTAAATAACTCTCTTACTCTAAGTACCACTCATATGGCTAAGTAACACGCTTACTCTTAGTACCACTCATATGGCTAAGTAACGCGCTTACTCTTAGTACCACTCATATGGCTAACTAAAGCGATTACTCTTCGTTTCACTCATATGGCTTAATAACGCTCTTACTCTTAGTAACACTAATATGGCTAAGAAATGCGCTTTCTTAGTACCGCTCATATGGCTAAGTTACGCGCTCACTCTTAGTACCACTCATATTGCTAAGTAACGCGCTTATTGTTAGTACCACTCATATGGCTAATTAACTCGCTTACTCCTCGTACCACTTATATGGATAAGTAACGCGCTTACTCTTAGTACCACCTATACGGCTACGTAACGCGCCTACTTTTAGTACCACTCATATGGCTTAGTCGCGCACTTACTCTTAGTACCACTCATACGGCTAAGTAACGCGCTTACTCTTAGTACCACTCATATGGCTTAGTAATGATCTTATTCTAAGTACCAATAATTTGGCTAAGTAACTCTCTTACTCTAAGTACCACCCTTGGCTACGTAATGCGCTTACTGTTACTACCACTCATCTCGCTAAGTAAAGCGCTTACACCTAGTACCACTCATACAGCTAAGTAACGTGCTTACTCTCAGTATCACTTATATGGCTATATAACGTTCTTACTTTTTGCACTACATATATGGCTCTGTAGCGCTCTTACTCTCAGTACCACTCATATGGCTAAATAACGCGCTAACTCTTTGTACTACTCATATGGATGCGTGACGCGCTTCATCTTAGTACCACTCATATGGCTAAGTAACGTGCTTACTCTTAGTACCTTTCGTATGGCTAAGTAGCACGCTTACTATTAGTACAATTTATATGGCTAAGAAGTATGCTTATTCTTAGTACCACTCACATGGCTAAGTAACGCGCTTATTCTTAGTACCACGAGTAACACACTTAGTTTTGGTACCACTCATATGGCTAAGTAACGCGCTTACTCTTAGTACCACTCATATGGCTAAGTAACACGCTTACTCTTAGTACCACTCATATCGCTAAATATCGCTCTTACTCTTAGTACCACGCATATGGCTAAGTAACGCGCTTACTCTTAGTACCACTTATTTAGCTAAGTAACGCACTTACTTTTGGTACCACTCATATGGCTAAGTAACGTACATGCTTACTATTAGTACCATCCGTATGGCTAAGTAACGCGCTTACTGTTAGTACCATCTTACTCTTAGTACCACTCATATGGCTAAATATTGCTCTTACTCTTAGTACCACCCACATGGCTAAGAAACGTGCTTACTGTTAGTACTACTCACATGGCTAAGTAACGCGCTAACTGTTAGTACCACTCATATGGCTAAGTAACGCTCTTACTCTTAATACCACTCATATGGCTAAGTAACGCGCTTACCATTAGTAACACTCATATGGCTAAGTAACACGCTTACTCTTAGTACCACTCATTTGGTTAAATATCGCTCTTACTGTTAGTACCACTCATATGGCTAAGTAACGTGCTTATTGTTAGTGCCACTCATATGGCTAAGTAACGCGCTTATTCTTAGTACCACTCATATGGCTAAATAACGCACTTACTCTTAGTACCACTCATATGGCTAAGTAAAGCGCTTACTCCTAGTATGACTTATTTAGCAAAGTAACGTACTTACTTTTGGTACCACACATATGGCTATGTAACACGCTTACTATTAGTACCACCCATATTGCTAAGTAACGCACTTACTCTTAGTACCACTAATTTGGCTAAGTAACGCGCTTACTCTTAGTACTACAACGGGAGGTAGACTACGGGCTAGGCACGGATGCTCGTGTGATCTCTGTGTTCGTTGTTCCTTAGTCGCTTTCCTAGTGCACACACTGCTTGCTAGTTCACGGGGCAATTTGGCAAGAAATGTTAACAATGGTACAATGAGGTTGGCAAGACTACACTACATCAGAGCTAGCATGCAAACAAGTCTACTGCCAGCGCAGCATGGTCGACTGCATGCCAACTTTCTTTGTCGACCGCGCTCCAGCAATGCAGAGTCGCGGCTTGCCAATGCTGCAAGTCGACGGCGTGCCAACGTCGCAGGTTGACGGCGTGCCAACGTTGCTCCCGCAGGACAGCAGCGTACCCGCTTCGCAGATGCTCGCAGATGATTGGCGTGGTGTTCCTCGTCACCTTTACAATGCACAGACCCGACCTTCCACGTGCTGACAGCTGCCTCTTATCAGCCACGTCGACCTCGGGATACCACCACCGAGGTCGTCCTCGCCAAAACCACCTGGGCGACTGTCGCACTCCTCCGCAGAACCTCGTCACCCAGATAACCTGGTCGACCGGGCAACCACGTCGACCAGCTGCTCCTGTATGTGCCCGTCGACCTCCCAAGTCGACGGCCACCTCCAGTCGACCTCACCAGGTCCCCTGATCGACCAGCTCCAAATCGACGTCACTCCTGGTCGACCAGCTCCTCGTCGACCAGCACAGTTGTCAGCCGACCCAAACTCGGCTACCCGAAGTCGGCGTCACCAAGTTGACGCCCTGCTACTTGACGCCCAACAGCTCGACCACCATATTTGGTTGACCACCAGGTCGACCAACCAAGTCGACAACCAAGTCGGCTGCCCCAAGTTGGCGTCAACAGGTCGACGCGCTCCGCAGGTCGACTTCCCAGGTCGACCACCCAAAGAAGCTAGCGCCCTCCCGAAGTCGGCGCCCATGCAATGGCTCCCGTGCAGGTCGACCAACCTCGTCGACCAGCTCGCCCACTGCTGCAGGTCGGCTGCACCCCTACACCCGACCATGAAGTCGGCTCCGCCCAAGCGAGGACGGGGCCAACATACAACTCCCGTTGACACTCATAGGGCTAAGTAAAAATCTTACTCCTAGTACCACTCATATGGCTAAATAACGCACTTACTCTTAGTACCACTTATATGGCTAAGTAAAGCGCGTACTCCTAATACCACATATTTAGCTATGTAACGCACTTACTTCTAGTACCACTCATATGGCTATGTAACGCACTTACTCTTAGTACCATCCATATCGCTAAGTAACACCCTTACTCTTAGTACCACTCACATGGCTAAGTAACGCACTTAGTGTTAGTACCACTCATATGGCTAAGTAACGCTCTTACTCTTAGTACCATTCATATGGCTAAGTAACGCACTTACTGTTAGTACCACTCATATGGCTAAATAACGCGCTTACTCTTAGTACCACTCATATGGCTAAATAACGCTCTTACTTTCAGTACCACTAATATGGCTAAGTAATGCGCTTTTTGTTAGTACCACTCATATGGCTAAGTAACATGCTTACTCTTAGTACCACTCACATGGCTAAGTAACGTGCTTACCGTTAGTACCACTCATATGGCTAAGTAACGCGCTTACTCTTTGTACCACTCATATGGCTAAGTAACGTGCTTACTCTTAGTACCACTCATATGGCTAAGTAACGCGCTTACTCTTAGTACCACCTATATGGCTCCGTATTGCACCTACTATTTTTACAACTCATATGGCTTAGTAACGCACCTACTGTTAGTACCACTCATACGGCTAAATAACGCTCTTATTCTTAGTACCACTCATATCGCTTAGTAACTCTCTTACTCTAAGTACCACCCTGATGCCTACGTAATGCGCATACTGTTAGTACCACTCATTGCGGAGATTACTATAATGGGAGCTAGGCTAGACGGCGCCAGCGAGACGGTCGGCTCCACGACGCCGACCAAAGAGCACGACGCCGACTTGTCGTCTCGCCCCTTGCCGCCAGCAGAGGAGTCGGCGTCCTTCGCCAAGGTTGACGACTTGGTCGACTGCTTCTCCTTGCGCGGCTTGTTTCCTTCTAGACGAGGACGACGACTGCCCGACCTCCCGCGACTGCCCTTGGCGTCGTCGTCGTCGGAGTCACTGCGGTCGGGGCACTCGAAGGAGAGATTTTTGGGGTCGCCACACAGCCAGCACTCCCGACGTCGACTTCCTCCTCCTCGACCACTGTCCTTGGTCGACT